CCCCCTACCTGGAAACGATCGGTAACGGGCTGGCCATGTTCAACAACAACTGGACAACCTTCAGAGCGGCGTTCAAAATGCGATTCAAGACGCCGACGAGGCAGTCGATGCGAAGGTATCCCTGCAGGCCCTGCACCAGCGTAGCCTCTCCATCGTTGAGTACTACATGTGCTTCAACAAGCTCGCAGACAGGACCAGCTACAGCCAGACCGACCTCTACGACAGGTTCTATGAACACCTCTCTTCGGAGATCAAGGATGAGCTGGTGCATACTGCTCATGACACTACCACACTCCCCAACCTCGTTCAGGTCGCTACAGACCTTGACATGCACATTTGCACACGCAAGGCCAAGTGTGCGTGCGGACAGGGAAGTCTGCAGTGTCTTTGACCATCCTTGTACCACAACCAGGCAGTTCACATCTGGCAACTCTGCTGACCATGTGCACGTCTCATGACCTAGACACGATGGACATCAATGCTGCCAAGCTGAGCGAGTTCAGACGGTCAATGAACTGCAGGTGCTGGGGCTGTGGTGTGACTAACCACCAGAAGAAGGACAGCAACCACACAAACGAGACTTGCTGCTGGTGCGGAGGCCATGGCCATTGGGAGAATGTTTGCCAGAGCAAGGCGCTGGGCAGGCCACACTTCGGTGGTCAGTAGCATGTTGCAGCTACCACCGAGGACAGCCCAGTTGCGTCAACCTCAACGGCGAACCTCAATGTGCTGGGGATCAACGCAATCCTCGAGCAAATGCAGCATATGATGGAGCAGCAGAAGTACCTATGTGGCGAGCTTGAGCTGCTCCAGAAGTCTTTTCCGAATGAGCCTGCTTAAGAGCTGCGGCAGTGGCGCCCCCACTAAAGGTCTTTTCTTCACAAATCCCTGAATCTGTACCTAGAGCATATGATACAATAGATAGCTATATGATACCTGAAGCAAATTGATCTGGTTCGCATTTTCGCACTAGTGTGATAGTAAAGAGAAACAATAAGAGTGTTAAGACCGCAGCAATAGTGGGGGTCAGAGTGGGCGATTCCGGGCCGATTCTGAGATGATTCGACTGCCGATTCTGAGCAGAATTGTCGAGGCGATTCCGTGCGAAAACTGGGCGCCTAGCCAGAATCGCCCCCGTTTGAAAAGCGACTCTGGAGGAGGATTTCGGCCCTAGAATCAGATTCTGGCCGTGATGATTCTGCGAGCACTGAGCTATCAGACACTAAGTATACTTGACTGTAAAAAGTTGTGAAAAAATAAATTAAACCCTTGCTGGCTACGCGGCCGCCACCGCTCGAGTTGTTGTCCTTCACCACACCCCGCCGCTATCCATATCACTGTGAAACGTCATGGCCCGGTCGAACCACCAGAAAACAGCCAAGAAGCCTGCGGCCACCCGGTCCAAGAAGGGAGCAAAGTCTTCTGTACCCACCGGAGTCCTTGTCCAGAGTGCCGCTGGTGACGTTGGTGGTGACACTCAAGGCGCCGTCACTGAAGAAGCAGGCGACGACCAGAATAACGGAGAGAAGAAGAAGACGTACGTAACTTTACATCATGACATGCCTCCAGCCCTCTGTGCTTCGTGATCTCTAGTGACTGTGCTCACGCTGCGTCACACAGAACCTGGACGATACCTCTCTCTCACCGACTCATCACCTCTGTCATAGAGAACAAGGAGATCAAAAACGGCCTATACCCGGAGCCTGGTCCCAACCCCTCCATGAAGAATGGCGGTGGGAAACGCAAGACAGAATTCCACGCCAAGCTCGCCACCATTGTCTTCGCCGATGACCTGGAGTATGGAGCCGCCTTCAATGCAGAGGTGAAAGCTGATCCAAAGAACATTGTGAAGTGGGGGCTGAAGGTCAAGAACCGCCTCAAAGGGTACGTCATCCTATATCTGCACGCTGGCGATAGGATGTTGTATGACCCAGTGGCCTGGCAGACTCGAAAAGGAGACTCGGGACTACTTGACTGAGCTGGGCCAGACTGGAGCTGGTATTGAGAGGGAGGAGGACATCGACATGTCTCAGAACAACAGCTTCACGAACCGATGGGGTAAGTCTAGTTCCACACAAGCTCGACGGTGTCTCGCTAGATCCTCACGACTGCGCACATCACACCAAATCTAGCCCAAATCCAGGAGAAGTTCCTGTTTCTGTGGGATATGAAAGGGCTTATCAATGCGCGCCCTAACGTCATTCCCGTCGGAATTGCCAATGGACAGGACAACATTGACTCTATGGTCCTCGATGGCTGGCACGATGATATCCACCGGACGATTTCAATGACAACGACTCGATAGATGATGAGCAGGTCACCTCCACGAAGCGTGCCCATTCATCTTCCCCCTCTGCTGGTGTTGTGCTTCCCCGGCCAAGCGCAGCAAGTCTCTCCCAGTCGCCGTCGATCCCCACAACAGCGACGATGATGACAGCGATCTCATCAGGTCCGTGGCCGCTGCGTGCGAGAAGTCTGGTCGTAGTGGTGCCGACCTGGCCCCTGCTCGCACCAGTGAGCCACTGATGACGAAGGACACCGCTACTGTGGCCAGCGAGTCTGGCAAGAAGACCTCCACACGCTCTGGAGTATCTACACCTGCTGCCAAGGGTACAACTTCAGCCTCAGGCAAGAAGCTCAAGAACTCGGACCAGTTCAACAACTTCCATCTCACCGATGCTGCAACTCAGCAAAAGCTCTACGACGCCCAGATCGCTCGCAGCATGGTTGACAAAGAGAAGGCAAAGGTGAAGATCTTGAAGACGAATGGCAAGTATGAACTGCTCAAGCTACGCCTCGATTTCAAGCACCAGCGCGCACTAGAGAAGCAGAAGCAGGAGATGCAGATGCAGATGGCCATGATCAAGCAGGGCATGCATCCTGGAGGGGTCAGATTTGGTGCGTTCTCAACGGATCCGGGCTACTCTCCAATGTCTCGTAGTGCGATGTCGCACAACACCCCCAACTTCGACATCCTGGGCCCAAGCACTGCGACCATTTATCGCCCTCTTGATGGACAAGCTCCCATTGACCTGCTGGATCCGCTTGCGGCTGCTGGAGTCATGCACACCACGATAACCAGTCTGATGGGTGATTTGGCAGGAGTTGGGGACTCGAACATAGTGTCGGGATAGGTGAACGGCGAGAATGCTCAGTAAAAGTAGACTAGTAACGTAAAATATCCTCGAGAGCTACTTATAACAAACTTTCTTCTTGTCCTAAGCTTATCAGTATATCGCCGCAGCACTTGCTACTTGGATGATATGTGGGGTCTATTCTGGGCGCTTTTTCACCTTGCTTCTGTCTCTCATCTCCCTCACCACACTATCCACTTGCCACCACCCCATCTCTCGCCTCTGGTCCCCTGAGAAGAGGATCACACATATTTCTCGCAAGTCGCGCCACCCTGGAACTCCGCAAGCAGCACAAGGCTGCGCTACGACATGCACTGCTCACTGCGGAGTACACCGTTCTGAGCGCAGGAGGGGAGCCCATGGACGCGGCTGTTGCTGCAGTCTTGTCCATGGAAGGTGCGTCTACTCACCCTGTTACTGACTATATGCGCCCTCAACACACCTTCTACTGCAGACTGCCGCTCTTCAACGCGGCAGAGGCGCGTCTTCAACGCGTGCGGAAAGGTAAGTGTCCTTCCCCCATGCATACCCTATCCCCACAAACACTGCTCAGTCTCACCCTCCTCACGTGCACACGTTACCCCTTGCAGCTCGCATGCGCACTCTACCTCGCCCCCGACTCCGCCCTCGCACCATGCTTTCCGGAGAGGCCACGCCGCAGTGACAGAGGACGTCACCCAGCCACTCGGCACCGAACTCATCAACCCCTCCTACTACTTCACCGAGAACCGCCGGTGCGAGCACCAGCGCAGACTGGGGCTTCCCAAGGGGCTCCTTCCCCACGTTGAGACGCACGAGTTCGCGTGCATCACCGACCTGCCACTCGAGGAGAACATGAACAAGCTCGTCCCGGACGCGCTTTTGCCGAACCTGAAGGGCACGGTTGGCATGTCCGCGCTCGACGTGCACGGATGCATCGCGACGGTGACATCAACGGGTGGGTGGACGAACAAGCTCGTCAGGTGCGTGGGCAACACACCGAGTATGGGCTGCAGGTTCTGAGAAGACCCCACCGCACGTGCAGGCATCAACAACCAGACGAGCATCGACCTCGAGCGGCGGCAGATCTCACTGAGGCCGCAGCCGCAAAGCTTCACCAGCGCAAAAGTTGCAAGGTTCTCACACGCGACATGCCCGTCCCCTCCTACCGCACGGACAACCTCCATGTCACCCCAGTCGACCCCGCCTTCCTCCCTCCGCTCTACGAACCTGTGTCAGCGGACAAGATCGTGATAATCTTCCACACGTCCGGCTCGACATCGGGCTGAGCCCCCCGCTGTGCGCGCCGCAGGACGTGACGGTCGCGATGTAAGTGCCTTGACCCTTCCCTCCCGCGAACCGATGCTGACGGATGCTGTAGGGGCAGCATGTGCCACATTGGGCAGACCTTCCCGTTCCACGTTCCAGCACAGCGGGTGCACGCTCCAGCAGCGCGCTGTCTATGTTCTCCTCCACCGAGCTCGCGCACATGATCACTGTCGGCGGGCTCTCGCACCTGAACCAGTTCCCAGCGTTCTTCGCTGTGTACGTCTGCGCCACGCACCGCGGTGACATGAAGGTGCTCGCCCTCCTCAAGACACTCGACAAGATCCTGTACTCAGGCCAACCGATGCCGCTCGAGGACGAGGGCTGGGCATACGTGCAGGACCTCACACTCCGGAACCTGTTTGGGAGCACCAAGTGCGGCGCGATGTTGCTCTCCGTGCGCAGCAACAGGCGCCCGACTCCCGTGCTCCACCTGATCGCGGGCACGCACTACTCCCCGACGCCACCTCCTCCTTTTTCGTCATGCTCGCGCCCACGCGTTGCCCTTCCTCTCCGACGCCGCCTCCTTCCTCTTTGCTACGCTCACGCCCACCGTGACCCCCTGGGCAGGCGCACACATGCCCGTCTCTGTCTCCTCAAACCCATTCGATGCCGTGTGCTCTCCCCTTGGCACATCCCTGACCACCCATGGCCCGTCGACCTCCCCTGCGACATCGCTCCTCAAGCTTGATGAAGAGGGTGGGGCTGTCCGCGCTGGGTAGTGTGCTGTGAGGGCAGACGAGGTTAATTGTGGGCATGTTTGAGTCACGGCGGTGAGCACAATAGTTCGTTATATGTACCTAGAGGTATGCTATCTGAGAGCTCTCCTCGTTGCCCTTGCCTCCAATAAACATTTTTTGAGCTCCTCCCGTCTCGCCTTGGCATCTTCGATGTTACAGCGCTCCCGTGTGATGCCGCTGCGGTGTTGCCCTGAGCCGAGTGCGTCTTCATCATCGTCATCCGACTCCTGGCCTCCGATTATAAACTCCTTGCTGTCGTCAAAGTTTTCTTCGGCCTCACACTCGAGAGCAAGGTTGTGCGCTACCACACAGGCAAGAATCCAATAAGTAGCGTACTTATGGCTCTTCTCATCGTGAATGGATACACGGAGGCCTTTGAGACTCTGGAAACGGCCTTTAAGGTACCTGATAGCGTGCTCCGAGCGAATGCGAATGGCAGAGACTTGTTTGTTGAACATGTCGTTGTCAGGAAGATCTCGATCCGGTTTCTTGTAAGGTGCAACAACCCAAGTCTCGATCTTGAACTTCTATCAGATCATCGTGGTGCAGCAACACAATGGAGTGGACTTACCGGATAGGCTGAATCTGCCCAAATGAACTCCTTGTCGTTGAAGAGCTCTTTATGACGCTGGGCAATGGCCGTGCCCTCCCATGCTGTCGAGTCATGTGCACTCCCAGTGTATCCATACCCGACGTCTATGATCCTTAAGTTCGGGAGCGAAACAATCTACAGCTGGGCATCAATGCTCTGTGTGTAGTAAAGTGGAAATTCAGTCACACACCTGGATGTTGAGAGAGTAGCGGCACTTGCGGTCAAAGTAGCTCTCACCAAACCAATGCGGCCGAGTGGAGAGCGGAACCAAGGTACCGTCGACAAGACACCATCCCTCTCGCCATTCCTTGCAAGACATACCCTCCACCCACTCCTTCGCCTCCTCCTTCTCACGACGACTGGGCAAGCGGATATACTTCTCTTGGATCCTCGGACGGGTCAGCGCCTCAATGACGCGAGACGTAGCCTTCACCACATAGCCCTTGGCCACACCAGCCCAGTCACTGATTTTCTGCAGCCCGGACGCATTTCTGTAGTGTCCAAACCGACGAAGAACGATAGCCAGCTGGAACTCCACCGGAAACTGAGGATTGGGCGAGTTGTTGGCAAAGATGGGGTCGTTACCGATGGCCTTTTCGAGCTGATCAAAAGTCCACGGAGTCACACCGAGCTTGCTTCGGAAGAGGTCCGGCCGATGTGTTTTGTACTCGGTCAAGATGTGGTGCATAAACGGAACCTCGGGGCGAGGGATACGGGCTCGAGGCACTTGATAGCGAGTTGAATACAGGTTGTGGATGTACTGATGTACGTGCAAGCCGAGGTTCCGGAAGCGATTGTGAATGCCAGCTTGTTCTTGGTCATCCCAAATGTCTCCAAGAGGTAGTAGATCTTCCCTCTCGCTCCTCTCTGAGTCTCCATTGTGGCCTGAGCTTGTGCTTGATGATAACAGAGAGGTGTCGGTGTCAGTGTCAGACTCGTAGGAGGAGGATGAGGAGACTATGGTGATGTCTGAGGAGACGTCAGAAAAGTCTATGTCGAAGCTGTCGGAGCTTTCGGATACTTGTTCGTCAGAGCTGGTGGACTCGTTGTGGCTGGAGAGGACCACATCGCTTGAATTATCGGAGGAACTGGAGGAGTCGGAGAGGGAGATGTCGGAAGAGGAGTTGGCTTGCTGTGCGGCCCCACGCACAAGTAAGAGGCGGCTAGCTCGTGCTTTGCGGTGTTGGAGGGCGAGAAAACGGCGATACTTGATATAAGCAAGGAGTGTCGCCTCCGCTTGAGCACGGCGACGTGAACACGGCCATAAAGACGGAGCAGAGCAACAAGATGAGTTTGCAGCCGACAGTCGAGACGCCCACGGCCATCCACTTATCTCTCAGGCCAGATGAGAAATAACAGGCGGATAAGTACGTTGCATAGAAGGGAGAATCAGGTAGACATCGGGGTATCTACTAGTGTCTACGCAGTGCGGTCAAACCTGATTCTGATTTTGCAGGTGATTCTGACCATAAATCGCCTCAGAATTGCCCCAAGAATCAGCGTCGAATCATCTCAGAATTGGCCCGGAATCGCCCACTCTGACCCCCACTAATGATTGATTCTGGTGCAACTTCGCTTTTTGTTAGTAAAAGGTTCATAGATAGGCATGGTATTTCAGTGCACCCGTTGTTCAAGGAGATCACAGTGCACAATATCAACGGTAAAAAGAACAAAACAGGCAGTATTACACATTTCACAAGGCTTACATTAGGTATGGGTACATATAGCGAGCGTCTCGATTTCTTAGTTACAGATCTGGGACCAGAGGACATGATCCTTGGCGTGCCTTGGTTACATGGTGAATCTGGAGATAGACTGGAAGAAGGGAGAGATGCGGATTGAGACGGACGAGGAGAAGGAGGAACAGCCTGCGTTCAAGTGTTGTCGGACAAACGGGGGTCAGTGATGGTTCCACACACACAAATCCCGGGTTTCGCAACGCTAGGGTTACTCGGCGGGACTAGGTGTTTGTGAGGTTTAGCTGTCTGGTTGACTAGCCAATCACTACTCAAAACAAATAACCCAAGTCCTGGTTAGAGACAGTGCTCTAACAGAAATACTTGTTTGTTTTTTAGAGCGAGGGGTTCTCGATATGCAATGACCTATTCCGATCCTTGCCACAAAGCTTGCGGGGTTTCCTCTTTTCCAGCAGAGGCTTCGTCGAGTTCGGTGCAAGACTACAATGGTCGGGTTTGCACTAGCTTGAGGCCTCTTCAGTTGTATCAGAGTGTAGAATACTCAATCAAGCACCAAGAGAGCACCTTAGAAACCGTGTGGTAGTTTCTTTTGTACTCTGTGTGAGTACACTGATTTCCTCTTTGTACTGTGTGTAGGTGTTCCGTACACCCGATACAATCTGCTGAGTTTGAGTACCTTACTCGTACTCACACTAGTCCTTCTAACTAGTACTTGATATCTCTACAGGTGCGCCTTCGCCCTGTAACAATTCTCGGCCTATGCTGTATAATGCGCCATATGCGCTGTGCCTCGCTTTTCAATAAAGCGGCTTTCTTACCTAACCGTGCGTGGGTTAGCCTCTCCTCTAGTAGACGTCTGTGTCTGCACTAGCTTGGCGCTTAACTCCTCCGCAATACCTGTGCCTCTATGCACTAGCTCTGTCTCACTCTTGAGACAGTGTTCTCAGCTGTAGTCGATTGACTTCAATCGTGAAATCTCCTATTCACGACAAGTGTCGCACTCCCAGCTCTCTCTACTCTAGTCAACTCTAGAACACTCCTGGCTCTCTCGTGAGTTCTGGACTAGTCAGTGCTTGACTCTTCTGCTGTACGATACGCCTATGCGTACTTCGTCTCTCAATAGACAGAACTACCTGCTATACTTTTACCTGTACTTACTTGGCTGCTTGCCCAAGTAAGGAGCTACTCCACAGCACCTTCAGAGGAAGGGATACTACCTAGATTTACTCTAGATCTGCCCTGGCAGTGAGGCTGTTTGATTGAAGCACGAATTGTTGGGGGGAATTCGCTTCAGTGGATTGGCTTGCTTGGGGCCTCCTCAGCCCAGCTATATATACTGTTCTGAGGGTGACACCCCTAGCCGCTGACTAATACATACATGTGCTATCTACTGTAGTCATTCTGACCAGTTGTTAGTCCAAATGAGTTAGGGGGAGTTAATGTGAGTCAGTGTGAGTTGTGGTGAGTCACAGTGAGTCACAGTGAGTCATGGGGAGTCACAGTGAGTCAGGGTGAGTCATGTATATATTCCAGAACTTGCTGGAACATTCCAGACTTTGTCTGGGGCATGGTCACTAGGTTGGCAGAGCTTTTATCATCTTTGCTTACGTGTTGGCTCCTAACTCGCTTACTGATTCAGCCTAGGTCATCTGCTGACCAAGCATGCATTAGTGATACCTTGCTTGATACTCTATGTATGGCCTGTGTTGATGCAGAGTCCTGGCTCACCTTGAGCACAACTTCTGGCGGACAGCATCGCACAATTCATATAAAAACATGCAAGCAGGCCACTATCCAATACATGCTCACACATCCATCAGCTTTCCGGGCTGCATGGAGCGTTGCTGGCACCATTCCTGAACCTCGTCCGAAAAATCCCTCGCTCCACGGCTTGCGTCAATGAGAACGCCTGCAGTGACAATGAGATGCAGTATGAAGGAATATAGAAAGACGTGCCTGGGAAGGGACGCTCGTGGTCAGGACCCTGAGTGGGTACCCACAGAAGACGCTGGCGAGGCGGTCCCACCATGGCTGGCTGGGCCCATCGTAGTGGTCGTAGGCGACGGTGAGGCTGGCCGTCGGTGGCTGTGGACGTGCTCGCGAGCAGCACAACCGGGTCTCTTGGTATTCCAGAACCCGACTACCTGCACGAGGAACAACTGATCGGGCCTCCCATCGTGCTGTTTGACCTTGCATCACAGAGCCCTCCAGGCGCCGGGACATGGGCCACCTGTCTGAAGGCCTTGCCACCCATTGAGGCCGGAAGAGGTGCGGGTGAGGTGACGCCATGTCTGTGCGGACAGGCACACGGCAGACGTGGTGGAGGTCAAGGGAAGTGGGTAGAGATGCACGGCCACAGCTGAGGCTCGTCAAGGGAGTAGGGCTTGGGGAGGCGCATAATGTGGTAGGTGGTGATGGGGATGGGGAGGCGTGATTGATGGTCGGGTTGATAAGCTCCCCGAGCGCCTACATATTACGTCTTCGGCTTTTCCCGTTCTATCCCTGCTTTGATTGATTTGATGTGCATCTCGCCTAGCCCAGTACCAACCCTGTTTGGTGCACAACAGTGTATTAATGCGAACCAGGCACAACGATGGTGGCAGAAGGCAGGAGTGTTGAAGGATGCGAGGGAGGAAGTGTGGTGTGCGGTGGGTTACACCTA